CTTTTGGCCAAGATGCCAAGATGTCAAGTGCCAAGTGGTGGTGACAGGCGACTTCCGGCGCGATAATAAATGGCGGGCGTACGGGCGTACGTGTGTGATGTGATGCGATGTGTCAATAGCGCGACGCGTTAACAAATATATTTTTTTGCGGGCCGAGAAGTTTGTGGGTCGGCTTAATGTTGCCGTTAATGGCAACAAGTGTCTGACAAGAGCTTGAGCATGAACTTGGCAATTTGCGACTGATTAATGGGGGGCCAGGGAACTCAACTCCTTTGGCGTTATCTAAAAAGCATATCGATGTTCGCCGCACAGCGATGCCGCAAATCATATTCAAAAGCGGCCCGCATCGGAAGTGGCCACCAACAGGTGTCGCTCGCTGTGTTCGTGCCTGGTAATTTATGGCCTACATGCTGGCTGCAGCATCCCATCCCGCTGGGAAAGGGACAAGCCCATGCTGCAATTGATTAATGTCAGCGTTGCAAATTAAGCCAAGCGAACCCACTATGCCCCTTGACTCCCCTCACTTTCTTGTCTTTTGTCAGAAGCGGCACACGTGTTAGCCACCTTGAAGTGGATCCGACTGGATGCGGATATGTGTGATGCTTCATTAGCGCCGACAGCGGTACAAAGGAGCTTCTGCCATCTGGTGGCTCTGTGGTGACGTGAACTGTCACCGGCAGCAGGAAACGAGGAGGAAAAGGTAGCAGAGGAAGCGGAGGAAGCTCAGCGAACAACCAAAAAGCCAGCAGGTGGGCCAAAAAACACTGGCCTGTCATCAGCAGCCAAACGAGACAGCGGCAGCGGCCTCACAGAGAAACTATTTTCCCCACTCGCTCTGCGACTGGCTAAAGCCGCTGGAAAAGCTGCTCCAATAATTTCTTTGGCTAACGATCTTTGTTACGGGGCCCACGACTAAATGCCGGCGCAAGAATGCAACCCGAGCCTTATCTCAGTGCACTGGGGCAAACTTTGCTTGATTACTTTCTTACTTACTAAGCCAGTTTAAGAAGCATTACCAGAGAAAGGCATTTTCCGAACGAAATCTGCGATTTTAGATTTCATTATTTAGTAATAAACGTTGTTAATATTTTTTTAAATACTTGGCCGTTAGTCAAGACCAGCTTACACATAAACTTTTGTTATTTTTAGATTACTGTAAATTAAAAATGGGTTATTTCTTTTGTATGAATTATTTAACTGAAATATATTTAACAACAGATAAAATGGTGTTTAAATTGTAGAAAATTTACAAAGGAAATGCAAACAATAAAGTAAAATAGTTATTCAGAATGAATTTATTTTAATTAACGATTTGGCTATTAAGAATGTCAGTCAGGCTTTAAATGCTCAATAACACATTTTTTCTGCCTGTAAATTTATTTATTGCCTAACAAAAAAAAATTTAATGCTACACCACGATTTTAATTTACTCTGACATTTTAAAGTTTTTGCAATCTTAATTCAAGAGTTTGATTAAGTTGTACATGAAATATAGATCCTGACACTCTAGTGAATTACCGATTTTATATGAGATGTTTCTCATATGTTTGTCTTAAGTAATAGCATTTATTTCTGAGAGAAACGATTTAAATTGAATGATGCATGAAAATAGATAATTAAGAACGTGAACTCTCTTATTTAGATGCCAATTTTTGTGGCAGTGTGTGTGGGGGGAAAATCACGATTCTTCCTGTAGCCGGGCACCCAGGAATGGTCATGACAACGAGGCCTCGGCTATCTGGCTATCTGGCTAACTGGCATCAGCAGATGCTGCTCCGCTGCTGGCCAATTTGAGATGTTTAGCCAGCAGACAAATAAGTTGATGTTGATTGTTTTTGCCTGACTGCGGCACGTAAACGATACTGACAGTCCATGGGCCGGGATCCATCTGGCCAGGCGAAACTTAATTTCTACATTTGCCGGCAGATAAAGCGCAGAGTGGGTAAACTGGTAGCCGCACAGTGGGGCAAACGAGTGAAGTTGGCAGTCGGCCAAGACGCAGAGCACGCATCTCTTCCATTAGACGCTTTTAGAGATTGTTAAATTCCAATTAACAACTTTTTCTGCCGATTGCCAGGGCTTCTTGGCCTGGAAGCTGCCTTTTAAGGCAACTCTGTAGCTCCAGGTTCCCTGAGAGCGAGAACAAGTTGTTTTGGCCAACGTTAATTGAACCCGCACACATTGTGGGCCATGTAAGCGGCGGTCGGTCGGTCGGCCGGTCGCTTAAGTTGTATAGTTTGTTTGTTTTTGGCCCATACTTGCTGTGTGAGTCACGTCGACGCGATGTTCCTGCATTGTAATGTTTTATGGAGTCCGATTCCCATAACCATTTGTTTTAATTTTCCTGCATTTGCCTGCGGACAGTTTGGCCTTAACAATGACGTTGGCCGTGCGATCTCATCGTCGTTTGATCATCGTGCCCACTTTGCGACTGGCCGCACGCGGGGTAATGAAAATTAATTGAAAAATTGATTGAAATTGTGCACTGAGCAGTTCAATCAGCGCCAGCATTTTGTTATTGTTTAGACCTGTCCGTAATTCTTTTTTCCGTTTTTTTTTTTTTTAGCTGTTGCTGTCGAGAAAAACTCGTGCGTTGGAAAATTGCGATTCCTGTGTTTGGTGAACCAAAATAGCTCAAAATTGCAATTAATTTGGAAAATGCTTAATACAATAAACACTAATGATGCTCAAATCCATATCCGACTGCCTGTTATGTAACCGCGCTGTTGAAATTGTTGGACAGCGCATTAATTTGGCAGCCGGCTAAATAGGATGTATCAATCAATGGACCAAAGCCACAAATGATGGGAAATTGATAACAAATAGGGGAATTGCAATTCACTTATTTTTGGGGGAGCTCCGGCTTTATCAGAAATGAATGGATATCCATTTTGTTTACATGAACGCAATCATCACATATACCATTAATAATTCGCTTTTATAAAAGAGAAACCAAATAGCATTACTAACACTACTTATAATGGCAAAGTGTTAAGGCTTTCAAAAACACATTTAATGGCTAAATAAATAATTTGTTCTCCATTGCCATTTTTATTAGGCATAAGAATGTTAATGTTTTATACGGCTTAACAAGGCTATATTTAGAATGGTATACGAATTTGAATATTTATTTTCATATGATATGAAGCTTTCCAGACCTATTTGATCAAGATTCTCTAAACAGTTTTGTATTCATTGATTATATTTGTTGAAATCGTTGTTGCATTTAATGGGTTTTTAATTGTTAAAATTTTTGTTGTTGTTTTCAAGTTCTGCTTGCAGTTATAGCAGTAGGTAATTTTGGTTTATGGCATTTATTTAGACTCATTACTACTTGCTTTATCTGTTTTCTATTTGCTGCAGTACGAAATACACTTCCTAAGCAACTTACTCAAGAGCTGTGATTTATACCTCTCGAGAGTCATCCATTCACTGGAAGCTCACTATTGCATTGGACTACTATGCAAACGTATATTATCTCTGACAATATTTACTTATTAGCCACTGCATTTCGCTCACGTGGACATAAGCAAACTGATGGAAAAAAGAAAAACAAAACCGAATAAAGAGTAATATATTTTTTCTAAATGCATTTTCTGGTCCAAAATATTCCCTGCATTCCCATCTGAGAGATAGCGCTTCCTCGGAATTTATTGTTTAGAGTAAAAGCTAATGCAAACCCACGCCAACGTGGTTGTACCGCATATAAGCCCATGTATCTTGGTCCGGTATCTATGACATCTACGCTGCAGTACGGGCGCCACGTAAACGGCTAATGGAAAATGCTAACATCAAATAGCGAATTTAGCCGGTGGCAAATTGTTTGCTTTAGGCCGCCAGGCTCAACTTGTAACAGTGACAAATGACGGCAGATATATCATGATCATCGCACAATAATGATAGTGTCGCGTCGTGCTGTGAAATCATCGACTATTGCAGATTGCCGTTTGCAGATTTCCAACTTGAGCGTACGCTCAACAATTAAAGACATTTCGAACAGATCTCAAGATTTATGGCTTTACAACGTGCGTCAGCATGAAGCTGGAAATCAAAAATCAAACGAATGAAGAGAAATGCTGCTCCGTTGATTTATGCAGCTGCTGCCCGGGATTCGGAAGCCAAACAAAAGCCAATTCACACTTTGAATAGATGGGCCCAAACTAAATCCTTTGAGCGTTTTTCCCAATCAGGTATTTGCATAATGGCCACCCATAGGGAGCATATCTTAAATGTTTCACTCATTTTTTTGGCTCTTACTTAACAAAAGACTCAAGCACATGTTCGGGTTCCATTTTTATCAAATTGCTCAGCAACTTAAAGGTCTGGGCTCATAAAATCAATCATCAATCATTAAACCAAGAAAATCACAAAATAAATCCAATGGATTCCACATAGATTGTCTTGATTCAAAATAGTATTTTTAAAAGTGTCTCAGAACTTTTAAATTTTTTTGAGAATATTATATAAACATGATTTCCTTTTTTAAATCTGAAGAAATAATTAATTGTCGTTTTAAATTCCCTTTAAATTAAATAAGCAAATTTTAGGCTGGCCAAAATATATACATGGCTTATTGACAAAACTATACATATTTGGCCGCTAATTTGGAATTGTGTCTTGTTTTGAAATTCAGTAATAATATTCTCGAAAAGGCTTAATTGTCCCGAATTTGAATTAAGAAGTTTTAAAAAAGGTTTCCAGTGCAACTAATTTTGTGCGAAATTTGGAAACAATTACTTTTTATAAATTGTACTTTGCAATATTGGCTAAAAATGTTTACTGATTCGTTAAGTCCTTTTGAATTTGCTTTACTTTACCATAAATATACAAATTTTATGTTATAAAATTGTCAAATAGTTATGAATGCATGAAAATTTAAAAAATATTCGGAGACAAAAGCGCCTGAAAATGCATGCCAGAGCACAGGCCTCATAACTTCCGGTTCCCAGCAACGGCATGTGTGAGTTTTGAAATATTTCTCCCATTGTGAGTTGGCTTACCGTGAAGGAGAAGGAGGCTCGCACAAGGAATTCCTCCTAGGCAGCCCGCCGCATATCCTGCGGCAATGCAGTGCTCGGCTCCTGACTTTTCCTGGCTTTTCTCCTAGCCCGGGATTCCGCTGCAGCCAAGTGCCGCTCGTTGACGTTGCCGGCAGTTAATTGAATTAGTTGTTAATTTATGGCTATGTTTTCACTGGGAATTTTGTGAATGTGCGCGGGGTGCGGACGGCAGGGGAAGGGGCAGGCGGAGCTATGCCAAGGACTCCGGCTGCCTTTTGTGACACCGGCGGCGTCGGAGACTGGGACTTGACTTGATTAAACGCCTGCCACTTAAATTGGCCTTTAAGCGACGCACTCGGGCACTCCACTCCAGCGTGCGGAAACCGATGACAATGACAATGGCTTCGACAAAATAATAATAAAAGAATAAGTAGAGCACACACACTTTTCAATGGTTGGGGGAAAAACTTTTTATTGTACACCCATTTGGGTTTAATGAGCGATTCGCGCACACGCTTCGAAAAAGGCTTTGAAAGTCGTTTTTTGAACCGGCTCGGATGCGCGAGGAGCGTTCCGAATCCGCGGCAGTTGGACGGCAACTGAAATTCGCATGCCACACGGCTCGCAGCCGGCGTGGCTGCTGCTATTGCTGCTGCTGCTGCGGTCGTGTTGCTGCAACATTGCGAGTTGCTCGAGTTAGCTCGGCTTCTTATCACTGTGCACTATGGGCAGATAGCAAATATTTGTACGCATTCTTCTCTAAGTTGAGGAAGATTTATCTTAATTACTGCTTGGCGTTAAATAGAACTGAAAAACAATACGTTTTTACTGAGACCTTTTTTAATCTAAAAATAAACTCATGCAGTTGTAGTTTTACAAACTGTGATTCCTTATTTTGTACCTTGTACCTAAATACATATATTAATTATGTTAAATCCATAAATATAAAATACTGCTTAGTATTTATCTCAATTGAAAAAAATAAAATGAAAAATTCAAAATGTAGAAATAATTTTGGGGATATTATTTATGAATAATTTTTTTTTATTTGTTTCTAATAATTGTTTAAAATTGTTTTTGTATTCTTAGAACATTGTTTATTTTTTAGTAAAAGTAGTAGTTTCCAAGTTATATTTTACATTTTATCAAAACTATTTTGCAAAATATTTTTTTTTGAGGAAAACTATTGGTCTTGTGACCATAGTGCAGTGAATCCCAGCAAGAGGTTTTCCGAGCTTTCGCAGAGCTTTCCATGGCAACTATATGGGCAATAAATTGGACACCGGGTACTTTTTGTTGCGCGCAACTTGTTGCGCTGCCTTTGAAGAGACTGATAAGGAGAAATGTTTCAATTGGATCGAATTCAAAAGCGGCTTATTAGACTCTGCCGTTTATGATAATTATAATTGGGCGCCGCTCATAAAACCCGAGTTTTATAATCGCTTTCAACAGCCAAATTCTAATCTTAACTTGGACTATCAGTAGTGAACATTTTTGAAAAGGGGGTACGCCGTCATAGTGATCTTTTTGTAAACACTTGTTGATAGTCTGAAGTTATAAAAGTTTTTTGAAAGCATTTCAAAAAATGTTTATAGGTACTCAGCTTGGGTTCTGTCTTTGCTAATCTGAAATAATTCAACCTTTCAAAGCCTTAAAAGCCCACACAAACTTTTCGGAAATGTTTAAAAGCTTAAAGGATGTAAAATCCCAAGCTTTAAGGAACGCTTGATCTTAATTGTTTGCTTCCCTTATTTAGATTAACTTATTCGTTATGTTGTAAAACATATACAATATATTATATTTTGCCACATTTGTTTGTGTTTCTATTTACGTTACTTTTTTTTACAATTTTACTTGAGTTACCACTTACAATACTTCTTAAGTACTAATAACTTTGTGATTCACTTAATAGTTTTCAACATGATAGATGACTTTTAAGGAATGTCGATTTACCTCACATAACTTACAGGCGTTTAGATAAAGTTTAGCCAAGATTGGAATCTGATAAATATGTGAACGAACCACTTGATAGATAGTCTCACACGCTGTTTGAACACCCAGATAGGCTGACTTCTTGAGATAATATATTGCTTGTCTGGTAATTGTCACAGACAAATGTTGACACCTCCGCTGTTCTGATAAGTCCGCAATTATCTGTAATTGATAGTGCAAGCGATGGGAATAGAAAACGAAAGCTCAAAAGACCCATACGATTGTATGTGCCAAATCAGTTCCCCGAGTGGATCTCTTTGATAGCTCACCGCTAAAGCTTGGTCAAACAACTCGCAAATCTTTCTATTAAAGCTCATTTTAATAACCACTTCTTTGTTTAGTTTACATTATCAAAGAGTTTTTAACCGCTTAAGACACAACGTAGGTGAAAGCAAAGCCAGCCTCATTCTGCCTGTAGATGTCGTCGCTGTTGAAGAGGACCATCAAAGGACCGGGATTGTTGCCTGAATAAAAGAAGGTTGTAAAATTATTAGAAGGTAACATTTTACAAAAAAATCAATTATTTAACTTTCTTGCTAATTTTAGAATTTATTAGAAATAAACTCTTCTCTCAATGTTTAAATTAAAAATCTAAAAGAAAGTTTCAAAAAAAGCTTCCGAAATTTGTTAGCTAGTGTTAACTGAGCTTTACCACCCACAAAAGCTCTGACAAACTTACTTGTTATGACCACATCCTTCTTGATGGAGCCACAGAAGTAGGTGGCGTGCTTGTGACTGTCCTCGAAGGTGGCCTGTGGCACCATCAGGAAATCGGCATCCAGATCGTTGGTACTATCGCTGCTATAGCAGTTCTCATCGGTCATCATAGTAGTGGCCGAGACCACATCGCCCACGTTGAAGTCATAGGCGCGAATTCTGTTTGGAAAAATATAAATTATATTGTTGTAAATGTATAGAACAAAAAACAAGTTATGTTACTCACCTAAGACCGGTAGTGTCTGCATCGCGACGGAAGCAGATGGCATAGTTCATGCGGGATGGATAGATGCCGTTGCCGTCGTTGTAGTTGAAGGACTTGACGGCACCCTTGGACTGGGGGAAGTATTGCAGGCAGCCGGGCGGGGCCACAAAGAAGCCGTCCTTGATGGTGCTGGCACGACCCTCGATGGTGGGCTCCTCCTCCTCCAGATCCAGCGAGCGCACAGAGGCTCCGGCAGGGCACTCCAGCTGGGTCACGGTCATCTCCCAGTAGGGCGTGGGCATATCAGAGGCTCCAGCACGGTCGGCCAGACTAAAGACCAGATCCACAACGGACTCTCCATCGGTGGCATTCAGGGGCACATAGATGTGCTGCCAAACCTCCGTGCCGCACAGCCTAATTCCATTGACCTCGAAATAGTCCCGAGAGCACTTGGCATAGGTCAAGCCCGATCCTTCGGATTGCAGAGTGGGCTGGGCCAAGGTCATGGCCCAGTCAATGCGCAACTGGCAGACATACTTGCTGTACGCCTTCACATGGTACTCGCACTCCCGCGGAGGACTCGCCGGATTCACCAGTTTGATGTTCTTCGAGGAGGTAGTGCCTCCGCAGTTGGGCGTGGCCACCGACGCGGCTTCAATGGCCGAAGCCGCCACCAGAAGTAACAGGGTGCGTGCAATGTAGTTCCTCATCGTTCTGAGTCTCCGAAATGGTCAGTCGTTGGCTTTTTATGGCCGTCGGCTATCTCATCTGTCGCCCCAATCGCGCCCAATTGTCCAGGTGTCAGCGACCATGATCGATTGGTTTTATCGCTCCGCTGGCCCAAGGGGGCACCTGCAGTCTTAAGGCAGAATCGCAAACATTTGGATTCCCTCTATTGATACACTCAAATAAAAACTCGCCCTGGATTTCAGAAAGTTTACCGTAAATTTAAAACGCCATAAAACAAAATATTTGTTCTAGTTTTTAGGAAAATTTAAAATTGATGGTCAAAAAGCTTTTTGAAGAAGCTTTTTATTTTTTCTAAGACTAAACGCGATTTTTATTAGTTTAAGTCGAAATCGCACTTGTTTTTAGAAAATTCTATGACATTTTTTTTTGTTTTTGTACAAGTTCCAAGATAAAATTTGTTTTCTTATCTTAACTTACCCTATTTTTCGTTATTTGATTGATATTTTATTAAACTAGTGGCTAAAACCGTTCCAAAAAATCGTTTAAATAGATTTTTATTCTGGGTGTAGTAAACAGCTCTATCAGCAACTTTGTTGATAAAAAACTCTAATCTTATTCTAAAAATAACTTTGAAATAATAAGATGAAAATGCCCAATTTAAATTAATACACTGTGGTGTCTAAAAAGAATTGTCTAAAAAAATATTACTTGGTCAATGCTTACACTTATCTTATTATATTTTATTAAAAGATCGTCCTTGTTGAATACAAATAATTAACATATTTGAGAGCAGTACATAAAACTATTTTAAGTTAATACAAAAATTAAAATATATGGTACTTTGCGAACTATTGGAAATTTTGTATAGTAAATTTAATTATATTTAAAGCAAACCATATACTATATTTGTTATTCCTTATCGCGACTAAAGTCGCCTGCAAGAATGCAAAAGCAAAACAAAACTTCTAATTTAATCCCAATAAAACCCTGTGACTAGCGATAAGTTTAATGTGCAGTCGGCGCTCTTATCAGTTAAACATTCAACTATCTTGACAAAAATCAATTGATTGTCATTGTGCTTTTTATTAAACAGTATTACTTTAAAAACAGAACCCTTTGCTGGGGCTGCGTTTATCGAAGTGGTTGCCCCATTCGTGTTGTGCAATTCGACTCTAATTGGGGTCTTGTCATATTCACACACCCACCACTATTTGTTGCCCCTTTTCACTTTTTGACATCATCATCACTATCGATCGTCATCTTCATTTATGGCGATGATAATGAGATAGCCAGCTAGTACGCTTCGCGACACCCAGAAATGCCTTCTCGATGCCCAGAAATGTGAGCAAACATAACCCAGTTTTGACGGATCTAATATCGGAGCAATGGACACTTCGTCGAGGTTCAATGACTTGATCGAGCGGCTATGGGCAAACAAGTTAAAAGGCGCAACTAGCTCGGTTTGAATATTCATGCCGGTAAGTGACAAACCGTCTGAGCTTCTACCAAATATTGACACGCTCTTGCTTCTAACACGAAAATCTCATCACCGCATCGCTGCCAGCGCCGCTGTATCTTTCGGATTCTCCGGCCCTAGAAGAGCTATAAAAGCGAACCGACCCCCAAAAGATCCACACAGTCGATGTGAAAGTGCGTGGGTGAAGAAGACAAGAACCAAGAACCTAAACCTGAGTAAAACCGAGGATTATGATTGGATATACGCCGCTGTTTGTACTGGGATTTCTGGCCTTTGCGCAGGCGCAAACGCTGAATGACACAAGTCGAGTGGGAGTTGACGTCCAGGAGCCCGTTCTGTGGCGCCAGGGAAGGCGTAGGAGTGTCCTGGCGGACAGCTGCCAAACCAACAGCGGCACAACCGGCACCTGCCTCACCCGCTTCAAGTGCATGCGGCAATCGGGCACCGTCAATGGATATTGTGGCACCTACGGCGTCTGCTGTGAAAGTGAGTCAATGAAAGTGATACAAAAATGGAAAGTGGGTCAATAATAATTCTACTTTCCTTCAAGAAATTTATAACTTTTATTGAACTTAGATATCATATTATTTGGTTGATCCGGGGGAAAATGTATTGTTAGATTGGCAAGCAATTATTATAACATTTCAATGTTTTATTATAGCATTTTGATTAGTTAACATAAGGTGAGAAATTTCATTAAAACATAAAATTACATAATAAATTTAATAATTTCACAAGTGACACAAAAATTTAAATTTCTATAAGTTTTCTCATAATTTGTCAATATCGGCTATACGTAAGGGATATATTATTAATTAAATAAAGGATTAAATTTGTTCAAAAGCCAAAAAACTGTTTACGTTTTCCTTGCTTATGATCTTTACCATACAGATGTAAAATCAAGCTCAAGTTTATAAACAAAATTTTATAATTCCCGTTGTTTGGTAAAAAGTGTTTAAATAAATTAATTGATTATTAGTTCCTTGATAGTAAACTTATTATTTCTCCACTCGTATAGCTAATATTCAAGTGGGCTCCTCTACACGCCAGAAGAGAACGATTATCAGGAATCCTGGTACATTGTCCAGCGATTTGAACACCTACACCATCGAGGCTTTTAGCAGCAACGTCCAGCAGTTGCGTATCGACTTCGAGCAGTTCGTGTTGCAGCAGCCCACGGAAACGAACGGAGTGCTGGAGTGCCAGGACTATTTCGAGGCGGGTGGCTTCAAGTTGTGTGGCGTGAACGATGGCCAGCACCTGTACTTGCCCTTCAATGCGGCTGCTGGTGTGGATCAGGTGACCCTCACATTTGCAGTGACCTCCAGGGGAACTGCGCCCGTCTGGAGACTGATTGTGACCCAGCTGGAGGGGCCGCCGATGAACAGCAGGCGGCGATCCAGCACTTCTGCCGGCCTTGGGACATCCACTAATTCCCTGCAGGATCTGCGCGACATATTTGCCTCCCATCACGCCGACTATGAGCTGCTGGCTCCGCCGGGCTGCCAGCAATACTACACCGATCTAACGGGCACCATTCGCAGCTTCAACTTCCAGACTTCAGTTACCAGCAACTATATGCCCGATCTGAGCTATAATATCTGCATTAAGTCAACAGGCAGCGCCAACATGATTGAGTGAGTAAAGTGCATAAAACTTGAACTAAATCCACAAACTCTGTACATTTAGTCTTTTTTTTTATGTAAAAAGAAAATGTTCCCCAAGAACCTTAAAACAGCGAGCCATAACATATTTTTAAACTGTTTATTCTTTTTTATTTAAATTTTGTGTAGCTTGTTTTTTGTCCTAAATTTTTAAAGTAAATGTTATTCATACGTGATGGTTTTTTTGATTAATTATTCGATGTCGGGGTAGAAATATTTATTCTCTAAAAAGCATTTTTAAGTAATTTTATTTTATTTAAATTAAATAGTTCATATTTAAAAAAGTTCATATTTAAACACATAAGCCCGAAAGGTTAATTAGTACATGTGTAAAAAGAATTCTTTTAATTATCTTAATAACTCTTTCTTCTCTATCTGGATTAATGAAAACCACTTAACAGATACTCCTTCAGCAAGTTCTCGATGTCGGTGCAGTCGGACACTGGGGAGGGGTACGACGAGTTCTGCCACGCCACTGTCCACACGGCCGGCAGGCAGGAGGACTATTTGATGATACCGCAGGGCATTCTGGCCAAGAACATGGCCTACCAGCCCACCTACTACTGCGGCACCAACAACAACCTGCTGGTCTATGGTGAGTGGTTAAAGTGAAGGGAAAGGGGAATGGGAGGTTGAATTTCCCGTTGAAAACCGCTTGATATGTGGCTTCCATATTGCAGCCTCACCGCCCTATTTGATGCACTTCTCCAGCGATGAGCTCACCTTGAATCCGGACGTGGAGACGGGCTTCAGTATGACTTACCGACTGAGGAACTCGCTCCTCTAATCGCTCGTTCATCATTCTCAACTATTTTTGGATAGTTTCTTGCCTAGGATTTAATAAACTCGAATGTCTTTAAGCTTCAGTGTTTGGTATTCAGTTAATGAGCTTGTCAAATCGAGGGGATTATGACAATTTAGGGGTTGGGCAGCGAAAGCACATACAATCAAACGCCCACGCAAAAAGTTGGACAAACGCATTAAGGAGCTTGTGCGGTCAGCGACACGATTATCCTTTTAGTTCCGTAATTAGTGTGATTAAAGTCAAGAGCTCCGAGGCCCGATGGGGTGCCAATACCCCTTAAATAGCTATACAGCCAAGAGAGAACAGTGGCAAACAAATAGAAATGTATAAAATGCGCCATTGGCAGCTTTGAGAGCTTGGAACCGAACCGAGTCGGAAGCACACAGACCCCTTTCCCTGGGCCTTTCACTTTGACAAGGTGCTAGATTTGGAAGCCCGCTAATTGACGGCCAGCGCATTCTTCCAGCGATCATGGCTCATTTAGCAGCGCCGGCTCCCAGAATCACTCTCGCCCACACTCACTCCAATCGCAACTCGCAGTGTAAATTGTTAAATAAGCCAATCAGGCACATGCCCAATCCCAACGGTCAATATTAGTGATTGGTTCGGGGGAGTCTCTTTATGGCTGGATTAGCGGACTCGCACCTGCTGTGGGCAGCCCTATTAAGTGGGGTCCAGGTGAGAAGTTCCCTAACAAGCCCAGAGTACCCCATCTTAAATGGTTACACAAAAAGAGCGGGAGTAGTAAATAAATAAACACCTAGGTATTCAAGAGAAAATCAAGCAACATGTGTGCTTATAAGTACGACACTCCTAAAATGGTTGCCAAAAATTTTGAACCTATTTAAGTGATTTAATTGCGTAACAAAATAGTCTTATTTCGTATGTTTGAATGGCTACCCAATAAATAATTAAGAATCATACATTTAAACAAAGCAAAGTAATGGGGCTGAAAACTAATAAAAAATAAAAATGTTGCAGAACAATATTATTATTATAATTAAATTTCTCGCAAAAAAATTGACCGTTTGTTTAATTATTTATTACAACTTTTAATATTCATTTTAGCTTTAATAGTTAAATATTAATTATAATTC